TAATTGACGGTGCAGGCCCTGTCTGGCAGAGAGCCGGCGGGCGGCGCAGGGGCGGGCGAGGGGCTTAATTGCAGGGCTTCGGGTGCAGTCTGGGCTGCAGCTCCGCTTGGGGCGAAAGGGACAGACACTAAGCTCGGAGAGCCTGGCCTCAGAGGAAGCTAAAAGACCTCCGAGTCGGTGGTCGGGGAGCCCTACCCCGGAAGCGGGATCGAGGGTCTTGAACGCTAGCGAGAGTGCGGGGGGGTGGAGGGGGGGCGTGGGATGTCTCGGGAGAGCTAGGAGGAGGGGGGCAGATTCCAAACTCCCCACCCCAGCCCCAAGGAGCCCTGGTTCATCTTGTCCGAGACTCCTCCCTCGTTCAGACCCTCCCTCCACCACCAACCCCCGCTCCCCTTTCTGCCGCCCCCGTCACCCCCCTTCTCGTATCCCCAGGGCGCTCCCACCCTGGGGAAGAATGTGCCCTCCTAGCGCACCCTTGCCATGGTAACGGCACACCCCCACCCCCGCGCACCGCAGCGGCCGGGCCTGGCCGGGAGGGCGGCGAGAAAAGGGGGAGTGGGCGCCTCCCAGCCCCGCGGACACACCTCGACAGCCCCGGTTGCCACAGTAACCGGGGGCGTTTCGAAGTGCGCAGCCGCAAAGTGGCACCGGGCACTCCTCTCGCTCTTTCACCCCTCTAACCCACCAGCAGAGGACCCTGGCTCCTAGGAGAGACTGCCGCCCACCTTCCTCCACCCCCCGTGCAACTTCAAGGACAAAGTCCAGAGAGGGATCATGGGCTGTTCCAGCTTCCACGCACCGAAAGCCTAGGGGCAAAGGCGGCCGGAGGACCCGGAGAGCCTAAAACCTGAAAAGGGATCCCCCTGTCCCCAGCCCGCCTCCCTCCCCCAGCAGAGCCCGAGGGGGGCGCTGGCAGCAGGAAGCCGGGAAGGGCCCCGGAGGCGCTCAGGGCCCACAGTGGAGCGGTGATTACAGGGACCTGTCCCTCCCGCCCCCGGCTCCCACTCTCATTAAGTCATTTTTTCCCCTGTTGGAAAGTCCCCGTGCCTTGAGCGCAGAGGTTGGGGCGACCGCAGGCAGCTGCCGGCAACCACATGAGAAGGGGGGGTGGGAGGGGAGGAGGGGGACCGCGACTAGGGCCTGGACAAACTCCAACGTGGAAGGCCCCCTGCCGGGGGGCTAGCTGGGGGAGCGTTAATTCGAGAAGAGGAGGGCCTGGATGCCGCTGACCTTGCTTCTCACTCACCAGGATCCTCCTGCAGCTGCCAGGGCCCCTACCTTTGCCTCTCTCTTTTTTCAGCCCCGCGACCTTGGGTAACAGACAAGCAGGATGCCTGGGTTCCGATCCCCGCCCCAGTCTGGCTGCCTCTCCCTGACCCTTGACCCTACCGCTGCCTGCTGGTGTGTTCACCACTCTCTTTCTCCGTTCCCTCTCTCCCTCCCTCTGGATCCGGCCATCCAGGCTCCATTAAACCATTCTGTTTTTTTCCTCCTGCAAGGAGGTGATCCAGGGTCCATCAAGGTGAAAGGTTTTGAGGACCAGGACTATTCCCTCCCCTTCTGGTCTATGTCTCACCATGTTCTTATTCCCAAATTGCAACCCTAGTCCTCCCCAAGCAACCCGGCAAGTTCTTCCTCCCATCTACCTCCACCAACCCCTATTTCCAATCAGCACAATGATTCCTGGTGCACCCTTCAGCCAGTATGCCTAAGCCGGGTGCCCCTTGCCTCCTATTTTCTTGCCCTTCCTCACCTCCACGTGGCCCATTAGGGCCTTTGCCAAATCCCACATTCCCCTTTCCAGCTGCGGGGTCCAGCTTTGATTCTCAGACTCTAGTTACCTTCCAGCCCAGAGAGAGGATGTGGAGCTCGCCGCACCTTGTTTGTTCCCTTCCCAACTTTCCCTTTCTTCCTTTATAGGTCAGGCCAGCCTCTATCAGCTCACCAGGACTTGTCTGGGACATGTCCCTCCCCCACACATGGTGTCAAGCCCCTGCCCCAGCCCACCACCCATCTCTCCCTCTGGCGGCAGCATGCTCTGCAGGATTCCTGCTCCTACCTCCTTATCACAACCCTGATCCTATAGCTCTCCTCTTTGGTCTTTCCTCCCCCAGCTGTGTCCTCCTTCAGCCCAGAAGGCACAAGAAGGTGACACCGGAGCTAATGCTGTCGTGGTGATCACTCCTGGGGTAGGAGTGCCCCCCCCCAGGCCTTCATTTCCCTCCCCCCCATACACACACCTCTTCTCTCCTCCTCCCTGGGATGGGAGGGAGCGAGGGGGCGGGGAACCCAGCCCCCACAGCCCTCTCCCGGGTGAACAAGAGGAAAGGAATGAGGCAGGTGTGTCTGGCGGCTCCTGCTTACCCCTCCTCCCCTGGGGACTCTCACCCGCCTGCCTGTGGGGCTGTCTTTTGGGGGTTGGGGAGAGAAACCCTGTCCTCCGCAGTAGCAGCAGAGCTGAGCATGCGGAAGGCCCCGCTGTCTTAGGCGTGTCCAGGAACTGCTGGGAAGCAGGCAGTTGGAGGGAAAGAAGCTGAAGGCGAGCTAGTGGGGGCAAATCTCCCAGCTGGTGGGCCTACAGGGGTACATCATCATGAGAGCTTTCTTTCCTTCTCTCTCCTGCCCAGAGGGCTAGGGAAATATGGGGATTTGTGTAGGCCAGCCGTTGGGAAAAGGAACAAAACTTCATCCCCATCTGGTTCATTGAGAAGGATGACATTCTGAGTAAACTGAGGTAGGCAGCAGGATCCTCAGCTATGAGCAACAGGAGGTCCGGAGGAATTAGGTGAAATGTTTTTTTCTCTGAGATCCTGACCCTACTTCCATCTCTACCACCCTTCCTGAAGGTTTATTCCAAGAAAACATCCGACCTGAGAGCCAGGAGAGTGCAGACCCAGATTGCCAGCTCAGCGGTGTTCTTAGGGGTGTAGGGAGAAGGAGGCTTGCCGACCTGCCATAGGGCACCTTGAGCTGAGGATCTGGGTGCCCAAGAGGTGTAGCAAGGATGCCGCTCCACCTCTGGCCTTACCTACATCCCCCACCTACCCTGCGTGGACTCAGAGAGACCAGAATCTAGACAGTGAGTCTCCTAGCCCTCCCCCGCCACCCTCCTTCTGGCCGCACCTCCTAGCCCCACCTGCTCCCCGGGGCGCTGGGCTGGCTGGGTTGAGCTGGGTCTTGCCCAGGATTACTCCTCTCAGAGCGCCTGTCTCTGCCTAAGGGAGCTGCTGGGCACCGCCACTCGTCCTGGCTTGTGGCAGAAGGCTCAGGCACAAGGTGGACAGCTAGAGCTCTGGCATTAGAAACTCCTGATCCAGCTTCTCGTCAACATCCCCATGGCCTCCATCCAGTTGGGCCCTGTCTCTGGTCTCTGGTTCTGGAAAACAGCTGCGGTTTCCTAACTGGCCCCCTTGCTGTCAATTTGTCCCCGCTTCATTCAGTTCCCTGTATAGCAATCCATGTGGAAATCAGACCAAGACACTCACCTGCTTAAGGCTCTCCTAAATTTCTCATTCCTCTTAAAAACCCCAGCTCCTTACATTGGCCCAGAGGGACCTGTGATGGGACTCTCGCCTGCTCTCTGAGCTCTGCTCCTGATAACCTGCCCTTTGATTCCTTCATTTCCATCACACTGGCCTCTTTGCTGCTTCTCCTGAGGACATCTTTCTTACTACTGAACTCTTGTCTCTGCCTGGAAAGCCCATACCCTCAATCTGTGCACAGCTGTCCCCATTGTACTGGTCTCTGCATGAGCAAAGCAACTCAGAGAGGCCTTCCCAGACCAATGTCTTTATCTAAAGGGGCCACACTCCTACCTATGTATCTATCAATAAATGAATAGTTTAAAAAAAAAAAAGCTGTGGGCTGTGTGTGTGTAGATACACACACACATACACACACAAATGGAATATTATGCAGCAGTAACAAAGGAAGACAGCTTGGCATTCGCAATCACGTGGACAGAACTTGAAAGTATTACACAGAGTGAAATAAATCAGACTGGGAAAGACAAATACCACAGAAGTTCACTCCCATGTGGCATCTAAAAACAAAACAAAACAAAACAAATGAATCAACAAACAAAAGGCAGAATGGAACTATAAATACAGAGAATGAGCTGATGGTTGCCTGAGGAAAAGGGGCTAGGGGGATGGACAAAATGGGTGAAGGGGAGTGGGAGAGGAAGGATTCCAGTTACGGAATGAATTAGTCATAGGAACACAAGGCACAGCATAGGGAATACAGTCACTGGCATTGTAACAGCACCCTATGGTGGCAGATGGTAGCTTGTTTGTAGTGCACACAGCTTAATGGATAGACTTGTCCAATCACTATTTTGTACATCTGCAACTAATGTAACATTGTGTGTCAACTGTACTCAAAAAGGTTTTTTAATGCAAACAAAAAATAAAGGGGCCCCACTCCCCACAAATCACTCTACATCCAGCTCCAAGCTTTATTTTCTTCACCGCACAGAGCATCGTCTGAGATGACCTCGTTCATGTGTTTACTTGTTTATTGTCCCTCTCCCCCAACCAGAATGTAAACTCCAAAAGGGCAGGTGCTGTGTCTCTCTTAATCACATCTGTATCCTCAGCACTCTTCGTCCCCTGCAGAGTGCCGGGCCACAAAAAAGTGCAAAATAAATATTTGTTAAATGAACATGAACGATGAGGAGAAGAGGCCCTTGGGGGAGGGCATCTGAGGCCTCTACAGAATCACTTCAGCTCAATGATGTCCATTTTTTTCTTTTCTAATCATCCTCCCCCTGCCTATCAGCTTCAGTCGTTCACTCTCTCTCCAGGGGGAAGAGGTGAAGACAGGAAATGGAAAAGGCCCAGAGACTGCCCGGATGACAATCGCCCTGGCCCCGGGTGTGGGTCAGTTCCCAGCCCAACTGAGATGACTGAGCCTGGGGCAACGAGCGCCCACAGAAGTGAGGGGTGGCGTCCAGGCAGGAGTGGACTGCCCCCTAATTGCCGATCTGACCCTCCGAGCCGGAAGGTCCCTCTCCGATCAGAAGGTCCAAACTCCTCTCCCAGGAGTCTGGACGACGACGCTGTCCCGGAGCGCCAAGCTGGCAAGCGGCAGAGGGCCGGGCCCCGGCTGGGGAGACCTCCGCTCACTTGCAGACGCTGACCCACTCGGTGATGCGGCACTCCTCGCAGACGACGAAGCAGCACCAGTGGAAGCGGCAGTGGCAGCGCTCGCTGCGCGTCTGGCGCAGGATGTTGTGGCCGCGGCCGCAGCACATGCTGCCGCAGCCGTCGGGGCCCGCGCTGCTCTTGTTGCACAGGCGGCCCACGGTGCCCGCCGAGTCCAGGCGCGGCTCGCGCTCGCAGAAGTCGGGGGACTTCTCGAAGTAGACGAGGTCGGCGGGGCTGGCGCGGCGCCGCGGCCCCGGGACGCCCGGGGCGGGCGAGGGGGCCCCCGCGGGGCCGGGCTCCAGCTGGCCGCCGTTGCGGTTGTGCGGCCGGATGAGCGTGGCGCGGTGGAAGCGGCTGCGCAGCAGCGCCCCCACGGCGCGGAACTCCGGCGTCACCTGCCAGCACGTCTTGAGCTGGCAGCTGCCCGAGGTGCCGTGGCACTTGCACTTCCGCCGCATGTTCTCCATCACCGCCTGCGGAGGGAGGCACGGCGAGGGGTGACGCCCGCGGCCAGCCCCACGGCCCTCCTCCCAGCGCAGACACTGGCCTTCCAGAATCTCGGAGAATTCTGAAACTGACTCGCATCGAACACAGGCAAAAGCTGAGGCCCGAAACAGAGCGGGGCGAGGGGGGCGGGGCGGGGCGGAGGTGTGTGGGTGTGTGTAGGGTTGTGGGCTGTGGGCGGCACAGCTCCTGAGCCAGGCACTACTGAGAAAAACTCCCGCCTGCTCTTCAGGACTGTTCTCCCATCCCACCTCCCACCAGGCCAGGTCCTGGGGGAATTCCCTCCTTCCTCCCCTCCTCTCCTTTTCCAGCAGCTGCAGGGGGCCCTTGGGGCTGGAGGCTCTTGCTTCCTGAGGGGGGATCCCAGATCCTCAGGGAAATTCCCTCTCCTTCCACCCCTCAGGTGTGGGCCAGGGGTGGGTGCTGGCCCCAATATATCCCATCCGCAAAGCTTCTGGCCTCTATCCAGGCATGAGTGGGGGCTGCAGAGAGTCTGAGAAAGCCCCTCTCAGCCTCTGGGCCCTGCAGCCCTTTGCAGGGAGCCTAAGGAGGGGACAGAAACTGGGGAGACTCCTCTCTCCTCCATTATACTGGCTGGGGCTTATTCTGCCCAATGCTGAATGCCACGGAACCTCCTAGGGGAGAGTGAGCATCAACAGGGGCCAAAGGCTCTACCTGAATACAGAATGGGAAGAGTCCCAGAGAACCAGACTCCCTGCAATGAAAATGAGGACAAGACCCCATGCCTCCAAGGGAAGTAGTTACATGAATACAGCCTACCCACCGCCTCTGCTCAGCTCTCAGCCTGCTCTAGAATCTCCTCCCAAAGAACCCCTTGCCATTATTATCCTCACTAGAGACACCAGAAGCAGTTGGCCACATCTTCTCCCCCCCACCCCCAGACTCCATTCCAGAACACACCCTCAGGTCAGGAAAGCAATGATCTGGGGCCCTCCAACCTGGGCAGTTAAGGCCACAAAACAGAGATCATGCCCTCTGAGTCTTAAAAGGCGCCTCTGCTGGTAGGTGCAGCCTGTGGTGTCAGCACCATGGAGGAACCAGCCCAAGCCCCCCCACCCCCGCCAACAGCTCCAGAATGTTTGCTTCCCACAGGCAGCAGCCATTAATTAAGCAGTTTAACAAGGAGGAGGAGGTACTGTTGGTATGGGCTGGGATAGTATGGAAGCTTGGGAAAGAAGCTGGGTGAACAGGGCAGGGCTGGGTGGAAGCTGGATGTGACCTGAGGGTGCGTATGCCTCAGTTTACTTCACCTCTAAGTCAGGCTGGGAAGAGCTGAATCAGCTCCGAGTCTCTGGAAGGAGAAGGCGAATGGCCTGGGCTGAGAGGCCCGGAGAAAGGGGGATGCAGAGGGGCAGGTGCGAGCCAGAGCGAGGAGAAGGCAGAAACAAGGCCCGAAGGCAGAAACAAGGCCCGAAGGCAGGCCAGGCAGAGCCAGAGAGAAGGGATGGGGGCTGAGCAGCCAGGAAAGGAGGGTGCAGAGTTATGAGAGGGGGCTAAGGGGGCATCTCAGTGGAGGCAGACGCGTAGTGCAGACAAGGCCGCAGCTCAGCTTGAGAGAGCACAGGCCCCTTGCTCAGCTGCCTGCAGACCAATCCTCCTCTCCCACTTCCTCGCCAGTTGCATGGCCTTGGGCAAGCTCCTCCATCTTTCTGTACCTCGGTTTCCATATCTGAACACGAGGCTAATACTAGGACCCTCAGGGCTAGTTGTAAGGATTAAATAGGCTGCTAGGCACTAAGGTGCTCCAGGCAGTCCCTGACACATAGGAAGGACAAAATAAATGCAGGAGATTATCTATTCCCTTCCCTAAATGCAGGTGATTATTCCTTTCCTTTCCTTTCTTCTTCTTCTTTTTTTTTAATGAATGATCTTTGAGTAGTATGAACATTCAAAGGAAGGGAGGTAAAAGAGAAAGGCAACCATGCAACCCCCACACAGGGCCATGCTGGCCCCCAGTCGCCTCCCCTTGCAGGAATCCCTCATTCTGCACGGAAAGGCTGCAAGAGGTCAAAGATCACGGCATAGGATAGCACAGAATCATGGAACATTAGAGCTGGGCCAGGGCTGGGGGGATGTAGGGGACTGGGTGATCCAGTTCAACTTTCTTGCTTTATATGGGAGGTGGCAGAGCGGCAGAGCAGGGCCAAGGCCCTCAAGGCCCTGACTGCACCCCAGTGCCCCTTCCATCGCTCACTGCAAGGTAAGGAGAGGACCAGGCTGCCCAGCATAGTGGGGAGCTGATCCAGGACAGGGCAGGTCTCATCCCTGTCTCCCCCGCCTAGTCCAGTGCCTGGCACACAGTGGGCCTCCAATGCATGTTTGAGGACTGGATTAGGCAGGGGGCAATGAGAAAGCTGCTGAGCTGGGGGAGTGGCTGTGTTGCCTAGAGGAGAGGTCGGCCTGGGGTGGGGGAGGGGAGGAGCCCTAGGCAGAGGGGTCTGGAACAGGCGGGTGGGGCTCTCACCTGCCTCCCAACTCGGTTGTTGTGGAGCCTCATGCGCGCGTGGATGTCTCTGTGAGGCTCCCGGGAGTCCAGAAAGTCCTTAGAGAAGCGCTCCCCGAAGCCCACGTCGGGGCTACAGCCGCCCCACTCCCAGGAGTCCTGCAGGCCCGGGCTGGCAGGGGGCAGGGCCGGGTGTTCCGGGACCCCGTGGCTCAGGCCCTTACCACGCTGGAGCGCGTCCAGCTGCAGGCGGTGCAGCTTCCGGCGGAAGGCCTCCTCGTCCCCGCGCCGGGAGGCGTCGCAGCCGCACGCCCTCAGTTTACCCAGGGCACAGGCGTTGGACACGGCGTGTACGACCCCGGCTGCGGCGATGGCGTAGGCAAAGGCGCTCTCTCGAAAGCCTGAGGGTGGAGATCCAGGAAACAGACTCTGGGGGGCTTCGATGTCTCATGCCTCCGCCCTCCCTGCCCGACCTTCTCACCATAAGAGGAGGAAACCGAGGCCCAGTGTTGGGGGAAGGTCTGGTACAAGGATCCAGACTCAAAGAGGGACAGAAATCACCCCCCAGAAGTTCGGGGTACAGAGTGGAGTGGGGGAGGCCTCCCCCAGAGCCCTCTTTTTGTTTGACACTCCATTCCTGGTTTCATTAACATCACCCTTAGCAAGCTCAGAGTCTGTGTCTACCTCTCTCCTGTTGGACAGAAAGTATCTGGTAAACATTCTTTTGAAAATCAGGGACTGAATCTATTATCTCTCATGCGATATTTGCAATTTAAAAAATAAGCCTGCAGAAAGAAGACAAAATTTAACCTAAAAAAAAAAAAAATCATTCGTGATGAACTTCCAGGCCCCAGAGGATGTTAAATGTGCAGAAGGGCAAGGAAGAGGAAATGTGTCCTCCTAAAGCTCCCGGCCCCAAGGCTGCCTGCCTGGTGTCACTCGTTTCTGCCGACTACAGAACATTCTCCGATGGCCAAGTTCAAAAGCCAGAGAAAAGAGCCCATGAGTTTTCCCTTTCCCTGTCCACAGGCATCCCAGAAAATCTGAGAAAAGGGCACCATTCCACTACCTGTCCTGTCTAGGTCAGCTGAAGGGGTTGTTTGAGGGATGCTGAAACACAGCCCAGTGCCCTGCAAGTAGTGTTGAAAGTTGAGAGGGAGGGGTGAGCTAAGGCAGACACCTTCCTTGAGATGCTCAGGGGCACGGACTCCCTGATGAACCACTCTCAGGGGCCCAGGACTGGTCTCCACTACTGTTCTCCTCAGTGTTTCCCAGTCTGACCCATCCTCTGGGAAGGCCCTGGTAGGTCTGGGCCTCCTTGGCAGAGGGAGGTCTACTTGCAGAGGATGCTCTGGCTCGGGGACCCACAAGGAGATTCTGGCTTATTCTGCATCTAGAAGGGACCAGCTAGCAACATTTTCTGGTACAAGTCTCTGACCAACCTCTGAAACCGAGAGAGCGTGGGCAGTGGGACAAGAAGCCAGGAGCAATCAGGAGAACTCACCTGCGCCGAAGGCCAGACCCTAGCAGGAGACCGGAGGCTTGCAGGAGACCAGAGATTCAGAGGAAAGAACTCTGGGTCCTTCCACGCTAGCATCAAAGACTGAAAGGACATGCTCTGGGAGTTCCCACAACCTCAGAGAGCCAATGAGGACTGGACAGAGACCCTAGCCCAATCCTGCACCCTCCATGCTCACCCTCTGCATCACAGGGTCCTGTCCTCCTGTCCTTAGCTAGCCACTCACCCACCCCCTAAAAAACAAGATGTGTAGTCATTGAAAGTATGAACTCTGGAGGCAAATTGTCTGTGTTCAAATCTTAGCTCTTCCATTTATTAGCTATTAATAGATACATGACCTTGGCCAAGTGACTTGATCTCTGTGCCTCAGTTTTCTCATCTGTAAAACAAGACTGTTACTAACTGCTTCATTGTTGTCCCAAGAATTAGTAAATTTCAAGTACTTAGAAGAGTATGTTGCTCATAGTGAGTACTGAGCAAACATTAGCTATTTTTGAGAAGTTCTTCATGCTGTCTCATTCCACTCACAACAGCTGTAGTTTCAGGCCATTGCTTCTTGTTTCCCCCAATCAGGGACAGAGCCCAGCGGCTCATGACCTACTTTAGGATCAATCACATGGGCCACCAGAAGCCCGAGAAGCAGGCCATCCCTGTCTATCTTCTCTCTCCATCATCTCAGGATCTTTTCTGTAATGAGCAGACAGGAGGAGATGAGGATTGGCCTGAAGCCTTTTAAGGGGATGTTGGGAATTGGTGGGAGCTGGAAAGGAGTAGACACTGACATGGGAGGTGAGGCCCAAGGGAAAGGAGGGCAGACCCAAGTCCCTAGGGAGCGCACCCCTTGCTTATTCACTGCCTTTTAGCTGTGGAACTCTCAGCATTTCCCCTATTGCTAGGGAGCTCATCAGCCCACTGCTAAGGCCAAATGGCAATACTCAGATCTCCAGAAGCAGCCTGGGCCTCAGAAACCATCCCCCGCTTCAACACACACAGTGCAAAAGGGAGATACCCAAGGTCACAGGGGTTAGGTAGCCCACCCAGCCCCAGCTCTCTCAGCTCCCAGGCCTGGTAACTTTCTGCTAAAGGACAGTTGGCTCTAGGGAAGACATCCTCCCGAGTAAGAAACCCAAGTGTCCCAGGTCCCAGTTCCTATGGCCCTATCTATGCATGCCACTAAGAAAGGGCAAGAGGCTGGTCCAAGGGGATATGCTGGGCCAATCACCATCTTCTGGCTTTTGTGACATTCAGAAGCATGTCCAGAGAAGTCTGGAAAAATGTAGTTCACAATCTACAGAGAATACCCCTACCTAACCCAGGCAGCCAAAAACGCCAAGCCATGGCCTCTGGCAACTGTCATAGCCACGTGCAGGGGCGGCCAGGCAGGGCCCTTGTGACCACCCTCTGCTCCAAGCATCCAGGATTCAGAGAAATCCAGCCTCCTAGGTCTGCCCCCAGCTCCCACTCAGGGCCCCAGTTTCGGTCCTGGCCCTGTCTGGGGCAGACACAGGCACTGTGCCATCTGGCCAGCTGGAGGGGGAGAGGGGTGGAGCCGGGGCCAGCTGGGCTGCCTGAAGCATGGAGGGAGGGGGGGCTTGTTAAGACGCACAATTAGCTGTCCTGCCTTTGATCTGGGACAGGGACTGCCAGCATCTAAGTGGAGTCAGCTGCTGCTCCAAGATGGGGCTGGGGGAGGAGGGTGGGAGGGCAGGGGAGCATGGATGAGAGAGGGTTCAGGAGCCAGTGGGAACTAGGAGGGATCAGAGACGCTTGAGCCCCGCCTATTTGAGTCAAAGAGGGAGGGAAGGGGAGAGATCTGGTCTCCATCCCCTCCATGCAAATCATCTGTGCATTGCTCCTGTGCCTGGGCTGAGAGAGAGAGAGGGAGAGAGAGGGTTGTGTGCATGTGGGAACACTTAGGGGTGACACTGAATGTGGCTACACGTTTGCACAAACAAAGGTAGGTGTGTGTGTGTGTGTGTGTGTGTGTGTGTGTTTATACGTGTCAGTTTCATTGCCTGGTACTCAGGGAGGCAGTGGTTGAGGGCAGTCTTTAAAGTCAGCTGGCCCACACTTGAGTCCTGGCTCCATAGCTCCCTTAGAAGCTGTGTGACTAATGGCAAGTTACCTAACCTCTCATTGCTTCATTTGTAAAATGAGGATACTAATAGCACCCATTGCATGGGGACTCTTTGAGGATCTTAAAGTACAGAAAAAGTGCTTCAGAACACTGCCAGATAGGGGTGCCTGTGTGGCTCAGTGGGTTAAGACTCTGCCTTCAGTTCAGGTCATGATCCCAGAGTCCTGAGATCAAGCCCCACATGGGGCTCTCTGCTCCTCAGGGAGCCTGCTTCCCTTTCTCTCTCTCTGCCTGCCTCTCTGCCTACTTGTGATCTGTCTGCCAAATAAATAAAATCTTTTAAAAAAACAAAGACAAAAACAAAACAGTGCCAGACAAACAGCAAGTATTTAATATGTATTAGCTAACTTATTGGGGGCTATTAGAATAATGGAACATTAAGCGATCCTGGGATATGATTGCCCAAGCCTCTGTCTCCCTATCTGCTTGTACCAGTAACCCCAAACCTGCAGGCCTAGGCATAGAACCAAGGCTCCTCAAGGATGGCTGTAAAAGGGAGGTGGGAGAAGAAAAAGCCAGGGCTTTGGAGAGCAGACCCTGGACTCCCAAACTGGGCTTCCATTGGGCTGAGAGCCTGGCTGGCTGCTGGGCCTCATGACCCCTCTTTCCATCCATTCTAGATGGGTCTGGGCCTTGGGAGAGGGCAGAACTAACCTGTGTGGGTGTTCCTAGGGCCTGCTGCTGGAATCTCCTACACTTGCCTCCACCAGCCTCTCCCTGGCCCCTACCTCACCCTCCTTTCCATTCCATTGTCCCCTGTATCCAGAGTGAGAGATGGATGGGTGTTCTAGTACTCACGATGAGGGGCTTCCCTCCAGATGTGTTGCCAGCAGATTCCAATGGTCTGGATCCTCAGAACAAAAAAGCTGGGGATATCAGTGCCCTGGACCTTAGGTCAGAGCCATCCCTGGGTTGGGGACCTTCCCACAGCTTTTTTTGGATTCTAGCCCCCCGAGAAGCCTCTCTCCCTGTCCCCTACCCACCCAGGTTCTAGCACCCTGTCATGCCCTCTCCTGGGCTGGGTAAAGCCCTGTTATATGCCCTGCCTTCCCAAGTATGTCCACTCTAGATGTTCAAGCGCCTTTTCCTCCTACACTGGAACCCCATCCCTTTACCCAACCCATTTCTGGGGACGTGCCAGGACAATCAGATGCAGTAACAGCATTAAGGTGGAAGGCCCAAGGGACCACCTCCTCCTAGCAGTCTCTGAACTCTAGATATGGCAGAACGAACCTTTAAGAGAACCCCACTGGCAATCTGGGTTGGAAGAGGGGTCAGTGCCCTGTGTTCCACTTGGGGGAAAGAGGTCACCTGACCCAACATGGGACAATTCACAATTTGAAAAGGACACTGGGGGAAGGACCCAGCACAGGGACTGGCTGCCACCAAGAACGGTCCCACAGAATTCAAATTTAGCCAGTCTTTGTGGTGATTGGCAGGGGATATAACCCCACAGGAGGATGAAGGATGAATCCAGATACAGAGTGAGGGAAGGGTTGTAATGGTGGTCGGTGGCAGGAGAAAGTGGCAATTTTTTCCAGAAGCCCAGAGTCCCCAGCGAGGAGGGAGAGGTAGAAAATATGATGTCGCAATGCCGGAGCAGAAGTCACCTAGTAGGACAGTGTTCCAAGGCCAAAGGAAGGAGCCCAGCTCCACTGCCGGAGGAGAGCCCAGGAGCCGCTGTCCCGCCCCTTCCCCCCCGCACTGCGCACCGCCCCGCCCTGGCTAGCCCCGGCAAGTCTCCCCCCTCCACCCCTAACCTACCCCCTACCCGTCCCCCCAGCTCACCTCCCGCGTATTAAACTGCAGGTGAACCCGGGAGCGCCTGGCGCCGCGCCAAGCCCACGCGCTTCCACGACTCCGAACTCACCCCTGACCTTCAAAGACCCCACGTCCTCTACCGGGCCCCACGGACCTCTCGCGGGCGAAGTAATCAAGACGCTTGGGCTCACTCTATCTAGAGGGAACAGGAGGCCCAGAGGGGAAGAGGGGACACCGAGGCCGGGAAGAGGGATGAAGAGCTTGCCTTGCCTTTCCTCACCAGAAGCGGCTGGGGTGAGAACCTCAGCGCCTGTCTAACGCCCCCAGCCCACGCGAGCAGAACCCAAATCAAGGCCTGGGGTGGGGGTCCCTCATCGCGGGGGCCCGAGCGCTGGAGGGAACACGGGGCGTCGGGGAGCTCACGGGTCACCTAAAGACCCGGAGTAGGAGCTGCCGCGCGGCGGCCGCGGAGAGCTCCCGCCTGGCCAAGGCAGGACAGAGGCAGAGGCCTGTCCCGTGACGTGGGCGAGCGCGGGCGGCCGGGGCTGGGCGCTAGGCCCGGGTCCCCCCACAGCCGCGGTCTGCCGGGCCTGCGGGGCTCGGGTGCGGCGGGGCGCGCGGGCGGGGCAGGAGCGCGGGGCAGGGGCGGCGGGGGTGGGGGTGGGGGGAGCCCCTTGGAGGGCCGCGCGGCTAGGGCCGGGAGCCGTCTGCCGCGGCCCGCGGGGATTAGTTCGCGGCTGCATGCCGCCACACGCGTCGGGCTGGGCTCGGCCGGGTAGAAACAGCGCCCCGGGCGCGCGGGGGAGGGAGTGGGGAGGGCGCGCGGGGGCGGGGCGGGCGGCCTGGAGCTGGGCTGGGGGAGGCTGTGTTGGCCCCGGACTTGTCCCCTGGGAGCCCCTGGGGATGTAAGGAGGGGTCCTAGTGAAAAGGGGATTGTCCCCGGCTGGCCCGAGTTCTTTTTGAAATTAGGGTACCTTGGAGTCTGACTCTTCCAGAAGCCTCTGGGCCCCAAGGCCACAGGGTATAGGAGTACCCCTCTTCCTCCACTGTCAACTGAGAATTAGGCAAGTCCCAAAGAGCCAGGTCCCCACACTGTCCCACTCAGGCAGCTGAGAGGAAAAGATAGATAAATCCCCCATCTTCCTGGAAGATCTGAGTCCAGACCTAAGATACTAAGGCAGGAGGTGGGTGTGAGCAGAAACTATCTCCAGCCCAAGCTCCTCTAGAGGTTGTCAGGATGGGCCCTGGGTCACCCAGAAGTCCCAGGGGGAGGACAGGGAGTGGGCTGGGGCTTCTCTGGGCTGTGAGGGGAAGAGAGGTTGGCAGAGCTGTCAGGCCTGCTGGGCGGGAGGCATGCACACACCCAGGGCCTCTGATTCAGAGAAGGTTCTCGGGGGCGGCGGGAATGACACAGAGGCTGGTGGTGTACCCTGACTGCCGGGAAGAGCTTTTGCAGAAGTACAGACATTTTACCTGTCCGGGCTTCCCTCACCCACACCTTTCAGCAAAAGTCCTTCCTGCTGGCTCTGGGCGCCTTATCCCAGGCTCTCCATCCTAAATGCTGTTTACTAGGGAGAGGGTAGCTTGAGGAAGGTGACAGATGTGGATCTTTCCTGAGCCTGAGATATACAGTGTCAATGACAGGGCAGGCTAAGCCAGGAGTCAGTTCTCAGGCATGGAACCCGCTACCCTCAGCCCACGCAGCCCAGGCTGGAGACACTTCTGCCCCATTTGTCTGGGGCCCGATAGACCAGCCAAGACCAGATAGGAGCAGTCGGGCTGGTAGGTGGGCACCTGGGGGGCGGGGAGGGGAGTTGCCAGCTTGAGGGAGTGTGTTGGGGGTAGTTGGCTTTCCTGGTGAAGGTGCTGGATGGGTGTGCAGAAGAGCAAGGGTGGGAGGAGGGGCAGCTACCTCTGCTGAAGATGGGGCTCTCGTAGGGGATCTTGTTGCGAGTCTCCAGACTGGAGCAATTCCAGCGCTGGTCCCGGAACTGGTGCTGGCACTCATGGATGGCGATCTGGATGCCCTGGATGGCCGAGGCGGCCACATCGGGGTGACGCACACACACTTCCATCTGCCTCCTGCTCAGGCCCGGCAATGTCAGGCACACCGTGTTGGCATTGAGCACGGGCTCCGGGGGCAGGCGGAGGCCCAGAATGTCGTTGGGTGCAGACCTGCAGGCAGTGAGGAGTGGGTGTGGGTGAGCGTTTAGGGGAGCTAGGAGGGCCCCACTTAGCAATCCACACTCTGTCCCAAAGGCTAGAGTCCCCCTGTTCCAACCTCTGCTTCTAAAGGTTAGGCTTACAGGTAGAGTCCTAAGCCTTCTCCTGTCCTTGGTCCTCTTATCATCGTTGCTTCCAATGCCACTTGCCCAGCTGCACACCTACACAGGTTAACGTGTAAATGCGCACACGTCCAAAATGCCTGCACACGTATTTCATAAGGATCTGCTGAGGCCCTGATGCTCACGTCCATAGCGTTCCCCAGGAGACCACTCCCAATGCCTGTTTCAGACAGTCCCATTCACACGGACACACTTCTCACACATTGAGGGGGCCACACAGACCCAGGAATACTTACACACATGCACACTTCAGACAGAGCAAAACATGCATACACACAGACACAAGAATGAACATGGGCACATCTTAACATGTATCTGATCTGTAAACTCAGTCACACACATGTGCACACACAGACTGCTGTTTACAACATAACCCACAGGGTTCACAAAATCACACACACACACACACACACACACACACACACACTGAGAACCCTTCTGGCTGCAGCTGTCTCAGTGACCCCACCTGAACTACTCCCTTCCAGACCCCCCCCCCCCGCCGTGCCCCTGGTGGGGGGGTCATCTCTGAGGTGGAGCAAGGCATTTTGAGCTCTCTCCTGGGGGTGGGGACGCATTCCCCCAGCCTGGGACGGACTCCAGTTTGGCATTTTCCCCCTCACATATACACACACCCCGTCTGCTAGTAGCCTTCACTTTCCTGGGTACAGCCTTGTCTCCCGGGACTGCCCGGATTCTGTCACCAGTTCAGCCCCCTCCTATGAGGGCAGTGTCTTTCATTGGGTACCAGCACTTTCCTGCGACGCGGTCCCTCCCTCCTTCCAGGGTCCCCTGCCCCAGCGGGAGCGCCAGAGGCCCCCCGCGGCTGGGGGGTCGCAGCTCTCCAGGAGGGCGGGGCGGAAGGTGAGGGCTCACCTGGGCACGGTGGTAGCCAGCAGCAGTAGGAAGAAGAGGAGCGCGCAGAGCGCGGGCCGCGGCTGGGGCCGAGGTCGGAGCCGCGGCCAGGGACAAGGGTGGGTGCTGCCCATGGCGCGCGGGCCGTCACGGGCCAGGAGTGGGGGGCTCACAGCCCGGCGGGACCGGCGAGCCAGGGGCGACGGCGCATGATCCGCGGGGGTCGGGGCGGCTGCGACACACAGCTCCGACTCGGGTCACGGCTCCGGGAGCAGACGGCGCCCGCCTCCCCGCTCCATGGGGCAGCGCCCCCGGGCACCGCCCTCGGGGTGGGGGGGGCGGGCGGGCGCACCGGGCACCTCCTGGCACAGGGGTCCAGGGAATTTCCCAAGGCCCCCCTGCGACAACTCCTGGTGCCTCTCGAGGGTAAGGAGGGGGCCGGAGGTGCTGCGGGCTGGGGACGAGAGGTTGGGGTGCCGGGGAGCCCCCCAGAGCAGCGCCTCAAGCCTGCGTGCTTCCGAGGGCGTGCGAGGCGGGCGGCGGGGGGGGGGGGGGTGGGGGGGGCGGCGCTGCCTGTGCCCGGCCCCACCGCCCAGAGAGTGAGTGACTGTCCCGGATCAGGGATCTCTGCCGCCTCCCCTTTCCTCCCCCCACCCCGCCCCCCCGCCCAAGTGTCTCAGGGCTCTACCCCAGGTGACGTCACGACGGGGGAGTGTGTACTGGTCGTGAGGCCACCGCGACCGCTCAGGACTCGGGGTGGGAGCGGCGGTGCGGAGGGCAGGGGAACGAGAAGTATTGGGGGTCCGTGCGCGCGCGTGCACGTGGAGGTGCCAGTGCCAGGGGCGCGCTGGTTTGTGTAAGAAGCTGTGTGTTACTGCGAGGCCTATGTGTCTGGCGGAGACACAGCTGCCCGGGAGGTGTCCTCCCAATATACACACCTGCAGGGGCTGGAAGGGAGGGGCTGGCCCCCCCTGCTTGCCTCTCCCACCTCAGGAGGGACTTCCCGGGCTTGGCTGGAGTGGCAGGTGTGGGGGGTCCCGTGAAGAGGTTTAACAGCCTCTGGATTTTGTTCTTCTTCCCTGGGTGACCTTAAACAGGTGCCTCACGCTCACTGACCCACCCTCTTCCCCTTTGTGAAAGGAGGTTATAGAAGCCCACCTCATCTAGTCATCTAGTCAGTGAGCCAATGAAGGTAAATGCTTGTTTGGGAGCAGAGCTCCCTGGGGTGACACGCCCTGGGAGAGGGATTAGTGAGCCCTTTAATCCCCAAAGTGTGCTTTGGGGATCATCTTATTTTATCCCCTTTTATTTCAAAAGAAAATAATGAGGGGCATCTGGGTGGCTCAGTGGGTTAAGCCTCTGCCTTCAGCTCAGGTCATGATCTCAGGGTCCTGGGATCGAGCCCCACATGGGGCTCTCTGCTCAACAGGGAGCCCGTGTCCCTCCACCTGTCTACTTGTGATCTCTCTCTCTCTCTCTGTCAAATAAATAAATAAAATCTTTAAAGAAAATAATGAGGCTCAGAGAGGGCCATGACTTACTCAAGTTTACACAGCAAATTAGTCCAAGAGCTGGAATTGAGCCCAGTTCCGTTGACCCTACACATAGTAGCAGTGGCCCCAACACTGAGTGTTGCTTGCCCCGGGCCTTCCTGCAGATACTCCGGCTCTTGGCTGGTCCTGGTACTTGTACTTGGCTCTCTGGGAGCCACCCAAACCCAGGCTCCTGGCTCAGGCCCACTCCTCTTTGGGATTTTCCTCTTGTCCTCCCACCCCAGCTGAACACTGAGCTCATCTCACTATGGAGTGAGTATAGGAGACCCAGGCAAGGGCCTGAGAAATCAGAAGGCTGGAGATAGAGGCTCCAGCTTCTGTTTCTGGTTCCAACCTGGACCCTGATAGGGAATCGTACTCCTGCTGTGGCCTTATCCTCCTCCTCTGTAAAATGGGCGTAAGGCTTCCAGTCTATATACACACCTCCCTCCCAACCTCATTGTCCTCTCCTGGTTTAAGGACAAACTCTGGGCTCTGAGACAAAAGGGGCCCATTCCTGGAATTGCCCATCCCTGGGGAATTGGAGAGGGGTGGGGCCTTCCCTGTCCCCAGACTGTCAGGTGGTAGGGGCAGCCTGAGCAACAGCAGGCTGACGGCATCCTCCCACCCCCCTTCCCCCCCCCATCTCTGCCGGCAGCCACCGCAGCTGTCAGGAATTAAGGGCTTGAGGCTGCTGGGGGTGGGGGTGGGGCGATGGGGGGGGGCAGTCTGGCTGGACAGCAGGAAAACAGCCGGGGGCAGGAAGCAGTCTGCGTCAGCCAGAGCCTTGTTTGACCCCAGCCGCCCCCTGCCCTCCCCACTCTTCCTTCGCCATGCTGCAGGGACAAGGACAGCTTGGTACTAGAGTTTGGGAAGAGTATGGGGAAGGTAGAGCAGGACCAGACTCAGCACAGGAAGGAGGCAGTGAGTCTGGGTTGGGAGAGGGCCCCACAGGGACAAGCCAGGCTGGGAGTCATGTACCCATTGGCTGTTGGGGAAACTGAGGCAAAGAAAGGATTAGGAAGAGGCCCAAGGTGGGACAGGGAATGCATTCATGACCTCCTTACTCCCTGGATAGAGCTCACACCAGCCTTTCCATGCTTGATGCATCGTATGTACCCCCTGGGATAAGCCGTTGTGCGGAATACTGATTCTGGGTCCATGCAGCAGAATCAGCCTGCCCAGGGGCAAGGCCTAGGTTATCTCAAGTGATTTTCATGAGGACCAAATTTGGGAAATTCTACTGAGCTGCTCGAGAGGCCATTTTTTTCCCCCTTTGACCTGCCTCTGCCTAGGGAAGGTCTCTCTGTCCCCCACCCCCACTGTTCATGAAATATAGAGGTGTAAAAGAGAGGGAGAAGACCCTTTCTTTGGAAAACCCCAGGAAGCAAATAATGACTCTCAAGTCTTGTTTGCACTTGGGCATAGTTCTGGCCTGATGTCACGAGGGTCTAAATGTGCCCCAGCCTGGGGCACTTCTCAGGACAAGGAGAGGCATATGTAGGCACAGGACCTTGGCATATGCAGAGATCAGGTCCAGAAAGAGAGTGTGCAACTGGAGCCCGAATCCCAAATGACCCCCGGCCAGTGGGCAAGCCCCTATCAGCAGCCCCCAGACCCCACCCTGGCCTTGCCCTGGGCCCTGGCCCTCAGCCCAGCCCCAGCCCCCGCAGCCGCCAGCTGAGACCAAAATTATAGGGGCCACTGGGGGTGGGGGGGAGCAGTAGGGATGAAAGGCAGCTTGGAGAATGGTTCCAGCTGTGGCAACTCTGGAGGAAGCTGCAGGGAAGGGAGGGCAAGGGGAGACATCAGGGTGAGAACAGGTGGGCCCCTCATGGCCCCAACCTGGTCCAGGCCAGGCTCAGTCCTGAGCCTCTGCAAGAGAAGTCTGTCTTGGTGAAGAGGAGAGGGAAGGAGCCCCAGACCCATAAGGGAGCTCCTTTATCTTATCCTTCAGGCCTCAGGGACCAGCACCCCTCAGCAAGGGGATTAACTTGCTGCTTTAGTCCCGAACTCCCCTCCAGATGAGATGGTCATCAGAAGCAGGGGGAAATGAGCCCTTGGCCTTATTCCAGCTGCATCCCCACCCAGCTGCCTGCATTCTGGCTGTTCCTGATGTGGTCATGCACACATCTGGGGTGCCTCTGTGCTCTTCCACCATCTCCCCGGTACCACATGTCCCCCCACCACTCAGCCAGCAGGGAACCTTCATGGCTCAGATTGTGCCTGGGGCTGAGCAGGAGATGAGCAAGGCGTGGTGGTGAGGGGGCATTTCTGAGCTCTGCATCCAGCCTTCTTCCAAGGCAGCAGTGCAAGGGCACAGAGCTGTCTCTGAGCTTAAACATGGCCAAGATAGTGGTCAAAATGGTGCCTTTAAAGCCAAGGCTCTCACCCAGCACAGAAGCCATTTCCCAGACTCCCACTGAACTTGGTCCCAGAGGATGGACTGAGAGCATACAACTAGCCATTTGAAGGTTGCAGTGTCCTCTTACTAGGTACTTCAAAGCTATCAGGCACCCCCATTTTTTGACGGGAAAACTGAGGCTCAGAGAGATTTATAGACTTGATCAAGGTCAAGCTAACAGTAAGCCTTTTGTTCACTGTATCATACTACTTTCTCTGAATTCCTTTTAACCTGATTGGGGTGGTATCAGTTCATGCCACTGCCTCGGTTTCCTTCTGTGGCATCATGGAGTCCAGCAGCACCCACTCTGTACCACTCACTAGGACCTGACAGTAGAGATCGGGAAGCAAGCATCCTAGCCCTACGTCCGGGTCAGCCCCAGAGGCCCCAGACAGTCTGGAACCCTAACAGCTTGACCCAAGCTGTCTGTGGGTGTCCTTGCTTCTTTTCATCCCACCCTCTCCTGCCTATGGCTCTCTGAACTCCCCAAATGTCTTGCAGGTCTTGTCTATAGGGCTCTGTTAATAGGGAAGCTGGACTCTATGCGCCCTCTAGTGGTCTATGATAGAAGTGCAGGAGATTGTTATTACTTATTTATAATTTACATATTTTGAGTATTGAACCCAGCTCTGGGGAAGGCAGAGCTGTGTATATAAGCTCCTGACGGAGCTTCATTTCTTCTCTATGTGGCCCACGACGCCAATTCTACTCTCCCCCTTGGTAAGTTATACAAACTTTGTTGAGTAGAGAGGTGCTGAGTCAAGATTCTCCATGACACTTCCCAGAAGCCCGGGGCCTTTGACCTAAGGGAGCCAGGAGGAGGCAGGAAGGAAAACTCAGATGCCCTTTCCTTCCCATTGCCACCCGATACCCCCTCTCCATACATGCTTCACTCTGGGGTCGGAACGTGATTCTCTGATTCTTGAGGGCCGAACCAGGCTGTGTCAAGAGGTCCATGCAGAGGCATTGTGGGGAGGGAGGACAGATGCACTGGAAGGCATGGGTTAGGTCTGTTACGTCCAGGATGAGTTCCCCCTTCCTTTTGTTTCATTTGAAACACTCTTCTCTCCTCCCTATGCCCCCAATACCTGCGATCTTGGGTGGGGGTTGGGGGGCACCAGTCCCAGTCATGGTAATGCATCTTCCTGGATGGTTATTGGTTTGGGGATGGGCAAGTGACCCAAACTGCCAGATCAGGGTCTTCCTTAGGGCTTTTGCTGGGAAAACCATTCTATTTTAGACCACCAGCTCTAAGAATGTGGGCATAGGGCTGGCATATAGAGAAAGTCTATCTGCAGCAGGAGGTAATGAGGACAGTATGAAAAGAAGAGCAGAGATAAGGTAGAAACTATTGACGTGGGCATAGTAATGAGGGAAGAAGACAGGGGAGAAAGACCCATGACATTGTTTGGGCCCCTGGGTTCTGTTGTGCTTGAATTCTGTCTTACCTCTGGACTTCCCAGTTAATTAATTCCCTTTTTCATTATTTTTCCAGTAATTCATTCCTTTGACCTAAGCTAGTTTGAGTTGGGTATCTTCATTTGCAATGAGGGTCTTCCCTGAGAACATCAGCTATACCCACTCCCACACTAACTGCCATTTATTAAATATAAGCTTG